TATTTTCGGGATTTGTAATTTGCACTGATGGCAATAATAGAAACTCCTTTTCTTGACCAGTATTGGCTATATATCTTTTTTTAATTTAATAATTAACATTTTTTTTATAAATGTCCAGCTGATTATACATATAATACCGTGCATTAGTAAATTTTACACAAAAAAATCAATATATACCCGAAACCATGGGTCAAATATAGTAAAATTGCGTTTTTAGTTTTTCACTCTGGCGCCAGTAATTCACAAATGATTTAAGAAATTCAGTGAAATGTGCTCAGAGAAGAAATTTGGGTATCAAATAAAAGGGGAAGTTCTGTATAATTTAATCAGATTCAATATTTTGGTATATTAGGAGTGGTAAGTATTGAAAATGTCCTTTTAAAATTGTATCCTTGAAATTTGCAATATTTGTTTTAAAAAAAACGTATATGTTAAGGACTTGTATAAACTCGATAACGTCCTTCTAACTTTAGCAGCTTAAAAATTACCTATTAGTCCCTGTGAATCCAAAAAATCATTTTTTTTTTTAATTCTAAATAAATTTCTTCTTTCATTTGGTACCCATATTTTTATTCTACATTGCATTGAATTTTTTAAATTAGTCATATATTTAAAATTACAGTCAGAGAGAAAAAAACGCCACTTTAAATAAAAAAGTAGGTTTCAAACCCATTTATTTATAATTTTTTTATGGTAGGAGATTTTCTCAAACAATATAGAAGCATTTTTTTGTCGATTTAAGTTGTTGAAAAGTAGGGAATATCTAAATCCCGGGATCCCGGGATTGTGATAACGACATCCCGAAAATCCCGGGATCGTAAAAGGCTAAATAATTAACATCCCTATTATGTATGTGACTATGAATAAGATTTGAATGCGCTCAGTTGTGTATTTATGGAACACTTAGGCTGCATTCAAACTTGCCATTGTAACAGTTGAAGTTAAGTAGTAGTAGAAGCTTATGAGACTGCCACACACTTGTTTTCTTCATAGTGCTTAAATATGCATGAATGTGCATACAATATGTATAAATACATATTTATATATGTAGATATATGTGCATGTATGTACATATATGCATAGATTTCTATTGAAACCAAGTTTGTAATGCAGTTTATTGTTTCGTAAGTGATTCTACAGTCATATGTATGTACATGTATGGCTGAAAGGAAATTGAAGTACTCAAAAGCCGATTATAACTAATTATAAGAGATTTGCAATATGAGTTGCAACAACTCCTGAGTGCGAATAAGCGAAGGCATTGCTCTGACCTAACAAATAGAAAATGCAATTAACACCCAAATACATACATAGAAGTTGTCGCAGATCTTTGACAGAAATTATTTCAGATATTTTATTGTTTTTTTTCAGGCAGTTGATACCACAGGCTTTGGCAAATTGAGTCATAGCCAGCGATGGGCACTTCTCACCTAAGAGAACAAGCAAAACTGTCGCATTTGGGGCCCATGTCATTCAAGAAAAGACTGTGCTGCCACAACGAGTTATAGTTTGGTGTGGTTTTCGAGCTCGCGGAGTCATCGGACCGTACTTCTTTGAGAATGATGCCGGTAGCGCTGTTACGACGAATGGTAAACTGTAAACCAAAGCGTGATATGATAATAAACCTTGAATTAGATGGCATTGACTTGGAATATTTCTGGTTTCAACAGGAAGGTGTCACTTGCCATGCTTTCGCATGAAACAATGGCCCAATCGCGAACGAAGTTTCCAGGACGTATTATCTCACGAAACAACGAGATCAAATGGCCGCCGAGATCTTGTAATGTGACACCATTGGTCTGCTTTCTCTAGGAATACGTGAAAAGCCTGGCCTACGCCAATAAGCGCGAGAAGATTCCAGAGCTGATTAGCGAAATAATGCCTGTTTTAAATGACATAAATACAGCCAGAACCATGCCAAAAAGTTAGGTAAAATTTTTATATTAAAAAAACTAAAAATTTAGTTGTGTTTTATTTATTTATAAGAGAAATTATTGAATCACCCACCGGTAAAATGCAGAGTTGCCTTCTTTCCATTTAAATGAAACTTAGAATAAACAACCCATAGCAAAAAATTACAAAAAAAGCTTTAAAAACAGATTAAACATTTATGCATTTAAATTTACAAAAATACAAAACTTTTTACGGACACTTACCTTTTCAAAATGAGCTCGCTTTAGTGGCAATCATCGAAGAGTCTGTAAACAAAAAAGATATATTTAAATATTAATAACTAATATGATTTTTAATAAAAATCAAAGGAATAAATTTTATACATATATGTACATATAAACATACGAGAGCAATTTTATAAATCAGATACTTTTTACACTTCCCGTGCAGGAACTTTTAATGCAACACTATTTTTGTAAAATGTAAAATTTTTAACAATGCAATGTTTGTTATTAATTCCAGTTTAACAGCCACTAAAACAGACAGTGAAATTCGATTATAGTGGAAAAAACTGAAGAAAATAACAGCTATTCCAACTGCTATTTTCTTTTTTCAAACGGCAGGAAATGGCTTAGCGGTTAGGAATTTGGGCCGAATGAAGAGCTCATCGTTAAAACACGTGTCTATTTAGGACCTTGAAGAAAACTATTATTATATATATTTTTGAGGGATAAAAATTGGAAATAACTAGACCAAAGTTATTGAGCTAGGCGGATGCTAGTATGTTGAGAAGTTAAGCCTTTGTTTTGCAAAATAAAAAAGTATTCAAAAAGCCACTGACTTAACAAACTGCCCTCATTAAATTTGAAAAAAAATATTTTACTGGCAAAAAGTCTTGGCCAACCTTAACCTCTTTAATGACCTAGCTAAGACAATTTCAATTCAATCCATACGCAATTCTCCAACATTGACTTCCATTGTGGAGAATGTGACCAGCAGGCACCACCAACAAATAGTCTCTTATTGTGCCATGATCTAGAATCATGGAAATGACAGTTTCCACCAGTAGTATGTTAGTATGTGTGCATATAATAGCTTAAGAACAAAATACCGTAATAAGAGTATCCCAAACCTTGGCTACATTCAGGCGGCGCTCAAGGCTTTGTTATTGTTTGATTTTATATCTTCTTTAGTCTTTGATGGCCCTGATAAACTAAACGCCCTTCCTGAATACAGTGATTAATGATATTCTGCTGATTTCAGGACCAGGTCACAAGGGGAAAGAGGGGGAATGGCTAGTAGGTTCAAACATAATCAGGGAGAAACTCAGAAAAGAGATAATAAGAATAAAAAAAACAACACTGGTGAAACACCAAAGAACTTTGACAAACCAAAATCTTTCTGGGGCTGTAAAACTAATAGAGGTACGTAATCAGTGTTGCCGCTGTGCGACTAAAGGGGCAATTTGACCCTTTTTAAGCGCCAATACCCTTCGACCCAACTTTTTGAAAACTTAGATTGTTTTTACCATTTTTTCAAAGCTTGTCCCGCTATTTTCTTTTTAAATTTAACATCGGAGCGTTCTAGCAGCGAAAATACTTTAAAATACATGTAAATTTAATTTTGACTTTGGATCTCAGATTTGTTCTTTTACTGGTAAAGAAAAGCAAAAATAATGTGGTGACCCTTTTTTCGTCGATGACCCCTTTTTGCGACTTTCTGAAAATTCTCAACGGAAACACTTTACGCAATGCTCAATGTGGCCAATAGATTAGCACACATCTGCCTCCAAACGATCTTTGAAACTTTTTCTATTTATTTTGTTCTAGCCATCCGCAGAATTGGTGTAACAGCAGTTGCCGCTATTTGCTCGGCGAATAACTGCTCTTAGTCGAAGGCTTGCCGATCTAATTTGAGACTTATTGTGGTATTCAGCCATTACCGCCTAAAAATTGAGGAAAAGCTCCGAATGATAATAAAATGGCATAGCAATGGAATCTCCTATTAAGGGCAAGTGAGTCTTACCGCGATTTCTACTTAACCTTGGCTAGATATGCGCCCCACCTACTGAAGTATCTACATATTTTCATATTGGGTTCAGTGGAGGAATTCCTTTTTCGAATACAAAAAAGAAAACCTCTGTATCGGATCACAGCTCCAGAGGAATTGTGTTTTCTAAGGTAGTTTGCAAAAGCGAGTAATAAATAAAAGAGCTTAGAAAATTGATGGTTATATTACATTAAGTAGAGAGTTAACTAATATTTCGTAGTAAACTTTGATTACAGATATTTCCAGGACAGTGACTTACAATAAAAAATAAAAGTAACATTTTGAACGAGAGTTAACTCGTACCATAACATGTAATTTTTAGCAAAAAAAAAACAAAACGACTTCAACTCTCATATAAAAAATATATAACTATATATATTAATATATCTCATGATCCACTGATCGGATATTAACCAGATTAGTATGGGACCACCTCTGCGACACTACCTTTCCGATGCAAAAATCGATGCAATTATCGAAATCGGTTGACGTGGTCCAAAGTTATGCGGTAACATACATAAAAATAAATAAAATAAAAATATTCCGACGAACTGATAACCTCCTCCTTTTTTGGATGTCGGTTAAAAACAGGCCTTATGCTTCCACATTTTAATCACCACTTAGTTACTCTACTCGTTCTTGATTGGTCCATTAAAAACCAGCTTTTCCATTCTCATAAGACACGCCAGCCACGCAAAGAGACTAACCTATTTAGTGCAGACGAATCCTTTCTAGTTAATTGAGAAAAAATATTTGTACTTTCTGCAGCAGCAGCAGAATTTTACAATATACATTTTGACAATCTACTAACTATAACATATAAACCTAATTTGCGAACACAGATTTTGAGCAATTTCCTTCCTGCTTTTCAGCACTTTGTGAATACCCACAATTGCTGGAGTTTACATCAACCTCTTTTACTTGCTTGGGTATAATTTCTATGCAATGCAGGTTGCGCTGACTGACGATTCATATTTTTCCTTACTGCCTTACGTATAAAATAAACAACCGTTCCCGATGTTTTTATTGTACTTTATTGATTTCGGATTTCACTGAATAAAGAAATGGTAAGCAAACGCCAACGAAAGTGCACGTAAAAATACTAGAAAAAAGTACTTATTCACTGACTATTTTGCCACAAAATGGATTGCATAAATATACACAAATAAGGCAAGAGTGGCTAAAAAAAATATACATTTGTACATACATACATACATGCATCGTTCACAACACCCCCGTTTTGGGGGTGGCCGAAAAAGGAAGGCACAAAATCTTGCGCTCGGGGTGTTTACACGCTAAGCTTCGAATGACACGAAGTAGCAAAACAAATAAAATAAGAGAATAAGAAAAAACGCCGACAACAACAACGCCTGTCAGGTGGTCAAAGAGCGGACAGAGGGCATACAAAGGGCAACACTTGCTTTTTAAAGCTTAACGTCGGCAACATTGTTTCGATACTTTGCATGACTCATACTGTGGATAGAGGACTTTTGTAAATATGTATGCACATACATACATATATATAAATACAAATGCATTAGTATGGTGTTAGAGGGTGGTTAGAGGTAAAACAAAAGCAGCATAAGACAAAACTTGTGGACTATAAACGCACAAAATGTAGTTGCACAAAGAAGGGCTGCATAAGTTAGCAAGGACATTAAAGTAGTCGATGCAAAGGACATGGATAATGGATGTGAAAAGAAACGAAATCAACATGCCAACAAGTAAATATGTAGAAAAGTGTGAGTTTCGACTTTGGTAAAATGTTCAAAATGTTTCAAAGTTTAACGAGAAATGTGATGAGGGTTGCATGTTTCACCGCTACAGCTGTGTGGGTACTAATGCCTTCGATGTGGTGTGGGTGGTGCTTATACATACATACGTAACTATGTGGTGATATAATGGCTTGACGGTGAATGCTTTAAGTCTGAATTGTGGCTAGAGTGCCGGAAGAGGCGCATTCGCCTGCCAGCTGCGTTCAATTTGTAATATTAAAACGATTTTAGGTAAATTAAAAAACAAAGGGGAAATAAAATATTAAGCTCTGTGTGGGTGTTAAGCCTTAAAACAAACTCTATAGAAATTCAATAAGCGAATTAAGGAAGGCAAATACTAGAGAAGAGGGGGGGAGGGGAGGGGGGTTACATTATCGCATTGCAAATAGTAGCACATGCGCAACTAAAACACTTTAATAATTTATGAGATTGACTAAGGGAAATTTAAGGTATTTATTTATTTGGTTAGAATGTGTAGAGTGTGTAGTTTATTATTTAGGTAAATGTACAGTACATTTCTTGTATTTGGGATTTCTATTACAATATTTGGAGCTGACGTTAATTGAATTCGCGGAAAATACTTTATTATTATAAAAAGACATTTTCAGTTAGTTAGGAGTGGGTATTGGTCATCTTAATTTATGTCAAAACAGTCTTTCATGGAGAACACACTTAAGCTTTCGGCCTTTTGTTATTCCGCGTAGGGGTTTGTGTTTACCCCTATCTCCTTAAAGCCAGTTCGATCAAAGAATTAATGGCATCAGGTTTCTACTTGGTTTGCAGCCAGGAAAGAATAAGCAGACTGCATTTAAACCGCGCCCTTGCCGTGCCGCATCGAGTAGAACGGTGGATTAACTGCGGAAATGAGCGCTAGGTTAAGTAAAACCAAAACAAAAACCAAAATAACAACAAGGTCTGCGACAGTAACCAGTAACACACAGCATAGCAACAGCGCGAAAGGTTGTAAGCGCAGGAGCCATATTGTAGAGAGGCATGACATGATAAATGACGAGGCATCCACCAGCAAGTAGGTCTATCACGAAAAAGCCCTTTGTGAGTCTAGCTTTATATTTCAAACGTTGTGCAAAAACTAGAAAAATTCGATAAAATCCTCCTTAATTTTCATGAAAGTTTTCAAATTTTTTATCAGATTTTTTAGAAATATTTCGAGTATGCAATTTTGTAGTCTACTGAATTTTAGTATAACAATGTGTTCACAAAAAAATTGTCAAAAATCAACATACATTTGTAGCAACTTGAATTTTGCACATTGCTCGTTGACTTTTATGTAACGTTTATCTCGAAATCCAACATTTTGATTTAATATTCAACATATACACGAAGAAGTAAATTGAAATGGCCATTGAACTTTTCAGCCTTATTCTCAGATTCGGCCAATAAAGGACGCAAATATTTTAAATTTTTTTTTCATCCAAAATGCATGCACAAAACAAATAAAACCACATAGCCACATAGGAATAAACCAAAGTAAAAAT